TGCTAGGCCTGTGCTTTCTGAATTGACCTTCTGTGATAGTTCACCAGTGTCCTTATGGCATTTTAATCAGGGCAGTCCATTCTATATAATTAAATGATAATTTGATAACTTTCTTATTTATCTAATTTAGCTAATTAGTTATGAGACGACAGTCTTTACCCAGCACTTGTGGTAAATGTTCTCCACATAAGATTTCTTAGTGAACAGCATCATTTGGTTGAACATTTTCTTATTTTAAAAAGATGTGAAACTAATTATAATGTTGATATATATAACTAAATAGTAGATATCCCTAAATGTTTAAATCGTCTTTAGTGTCATTCTGCTACAAAACTTAGAAGGTAAAATTTGGAAAAGTAAAGGAAATTATTTTTAGTCCCTCTACTCAGACGCAACTACTTTTAACATTTAGCTATGTTTTCTTCCAAGGTTTATTCTATGTACATTAAAAAAAAAGTTATGAGCTTGATTTTGGTGGCTTTGCCAACTCAACTTTGAGCTCTGTTGTACATCTTCAGAAATGTGTACTTTTTGGTTAAAAGCAACATCAAGAAGATCCAAGATGCCTTAAATAATATATGACATCATAGGAAAGTAAAATATGTAACTATATGGGAAGAAAAAACAGCAACTTCTTCTTCGAAGTCAATACTTTAAGTGTATTAGGATAGTAGATAGTACAAATTGTGATATGAAGATCTTATAAAGTGTTACAGAACTTCAACTTTTAAGTACTGAAAAAGGGTAGCTGGCAAACTGACATTGCGGAGCCATTTCATTAGTCTTTTTTCCCCCCTGTCTGTCAGATATTTGATTCGAGTGGCAGCCATGGATTTTCTGGAACTCAGCTACCTCAAAACTCCAGTAACTCCAGTGAGGTAAACGTTGCTGTAGGTGGCAGCCGTCTCGTTTGACACCGATGACCCCGGGGCTAACTGAGTTCAGCTGGTTCAGAATCTGTACGCCGATCTCTTAAGAATAAATTTAGAATTAAAATGGTCCTAGAAGGGGTAACTAAGAGTACTCCATGAATGCCAAGTATTTTTGGAGGTATCTAAACTCATGATAATGCCATCTGAAAATTAGTGACATGACAAGACAAAAGTCATAACGGCACCTTTCATTCATCCTGCCCTGTTCCTCAGCAGTTCCTCCTTTGAGAGTTTGGTGGATCCAAAATTGCGTTTTCCGATCAGGGTTGTCAGGGCTCTTCACACAAATGGCATGTTCTGTGCTGAGTGTCAGCGACCTGTGTGTCTCCACATGCCCTCAGGTGGAGCCGAGCATTAGTGTCCCTTTCTAGTCTCCAGAATTGCCTCCGACCCAGCAAACCCTCAGAACTATTTCTCAATGAAGTCCCAGCGTGTGATGGAGATGCTTCGGGCGGGCTCGTGCTTCCGTGTGCCTTTCTCAAACCCACACCGCCCCTTGAAGCTGTGTTTCATGTTACTGATCTATTTCCCTAACTTCTCCTCCACCAAATCATTTTATCTTTAATTTTTTTCCCCCCAACAAACCTCTAAGCTATTTGTTGAGGTCGAAAAGCTGACCGTAATAGGCTTGGACAAACGTAATATGCCTTTGCAGAAACAGGCAGTATTCTTTCATAAATTAATGGGGATAATTCAGTGAATTGGGAATTTAGTTTGAAAATCCTAAGAGTGGTGGAGCGTTAGACACTGTGGCAGGTCCTGGGGAGGGGAGTGAGGTCCTAAAATATACAACAGAGACAGCCACGTGTTCTGCCCCCACGTGTGGCTGGCCGCAGCCCGCTCAGTGTGCTATTGATGAAACTGCTCCCTGGTGGTAGCTCTGCCTGAGGTGCCCTGCTTCCTAGAGGACGAGCTCAGAATGGGTCAGAAATCCCCCTCTCCAAATCCTGTTCCCCTTCACCTCCCATCCCCAGGGATCAGGGTGCCAGAGGGTGGGTTACATGATGGAGCGTCTCGTACGGGAGACCTTGCCATTGGAGTTGCTCCTGTGTTCTGCTCTCCTTTTGCTAGATTTGACCAACCGTGGGGGAAACCATATCCAAACTTTCCTTTTTATCAATCATATCATCAAAATGGCATTTTTCCTAATAAGTAATTTCCCTTCCCTGCACCTTTGTTTCCACACACATGGAGAGCTTGTTTCAAAATCCACATTAAATTGCACTGTCCTCCGGGAACGTCACTTGATTTTTGTTGTTTCTGTATCACCATTACTTGCTTGGTTCTTACTGTGTACTTTTACTGTTGGCCACCCTGTCAGGTGTGTATGTCAGGTTCCCCAGGAAAGCTTGTGATCGGGACCCGTGGTCTTCATGGCTTATGTACCCTATGATTGTCTCTATGTTCTCAATCTGTAGCGCACCGCCAAGGATGTAGTACTCGCTTAATAAGTTTGATGATTAATTATTTATATTAGATGTAGTTGTTTAATGGTTGAAAAGAACTGTTTGATCTCCAGTAAAAGCCCATAAATTTAGGGTCGTATCTCTTCCTGCATTATGTAACAACTTAAAATTCTTACTTTGAAAGTTAAGAAATTATATCATCAAAGCACTTTCTGTTAACAGATTTTATGTTGCAAAATTTGCAAATAAATTTTGCTAAAATAGCCATTAATGGTGAGGATTAAGCTTAGTGCTTATTTGTATTGGGCTCAAATTACCAAATTTATCTTCTTGTGACTTAATCGACAAGTCCCATCAATGCTCTAAGGGGTGAAAAGAAGGTATTATTACTGCATCTGTTTTTTTTTTTTTAGCATATGTATCTAAACAGTATTCCCATTTATTTTAACTAAGCATTACTTCTGATGTAAGGACACTGAAGAAATTCCTTTCATTTATAAGACTATTTTCATTGGGCATCTATCCTTTTTGTGCTGCAGTACCAAGATAACTAGGTTCAAATTGAATGGCAGATAGAACTAAGGGTATAAATTGTTTTTTTTTTAAAATATCTTTAGGACTTAAAATTCTGCCTGATCTGACAAAATAATTAATATTTCACTGGTTTCCCTCTGCTAATCATTCTTGGAGAATATTTATAACCTGCACAAACCCTCTATTTTTATACCGTAAGGACATTACGTCCATTTGTGTAACACAGAGAGGCCATTGTGAGGGAGGGGCCGTGTGCGTTTTTAAATATTCCACTCTAATTGGTGCATCGTGTAACGGTCCAGCAGTGAGTCACCCTGATTCGAAATCTGTTAAGGTTGGGATAAAGCCAGTCTTATTTGAGCATTTTTAAAAGGACACTTTGGCTAGCCAAAAATGAAAGCTTTTCATAGCTACTTCTTGATGAGTAATAATGAGTCTCATACAGCCTTTGGAGGGGGGTGTTTGTTATGGAGATTGTGACAACAAACCCCCCACAGAGCCTCGGGGTGGCATCTACCCCAGAAGCTTCATTGCAGAAACTGTGGCAGCCCCTGGGCCTTGGCCCTGTCTCCTGGAAAATTGGCCTGGGGTGTCCTGACTTTCTGTGGCAGCGAGTGAATGAAGTACTGTCACATTAGTCATTAGCTCCAAACTGAAAACAAAAATACCTTAATGTTGGTTTCTTAAATGGAAAATACGAATGAAACACCTTACTCTCGACCACAGTATGGTCATCTGTTGCAACAATATTTGTATGGAACCCTCCAGAGCCTCCATACGTACACATAGGCATATACAGCTAGCTAGCTAGCTAGATGGGTCTTTGTTTTCCTTTCGTATCAACTGATATTTGGGCATTAGCCCAAGAAGGAAATAGACACTTTCTCCTCTATGACATTTTACTGTCGTTAAGAAAACGGAGAGCATGCAACTCCCTTTTGTGTTTCTCTTCATTTCACTTGCTAATAGACCTTCCTTTTATCAGCCACTGTGGTCGTGGGGGCCCGTTCCTGACAGCCAGATTGTGATTTTGCTAGTCACTTCCCTTCAGTGATCCAAGTAGTAATTACGAGGCATTTGATCCCAAAGCATCTGCTGTGAGAACACACGGAGTTTCAATTTTCTCTCCTGGCTACATACTGAGCCTAAGCGGTGTGACATGCGGTCTCAGGACCGTTAATGTAGTAATAATAAATGCTTCTGTAGAAGCTGCCCTACAAGGAGAGCCGAAGTGATTGGCAAATGTTAACTAGTCAGTCCATGGTGGCCATGGCTACAGTTTGGTGACGTTCCCCTTTCATGATGGCTGGTCACAGCTGGACCGAAAGGTGATCTGAGCAGCAGTGGCCACCACAGTGCCCCAGGGTGATTCTCAAGCAGTTCTTTACAGTGGCTGTCACCGAGTCCCAGGGGTTATGGCCAGTGCAGGATAATGCCACAGTGCAGGCTCGGCCTCGAAAACCTGTACAGTTTCTGTCTGTCCAATGCCATTCTTCACATCAGTCTCCCAATCTCCCCGTGAGGCTGCCGTTCTCAACCCCTGTTAAAGGTGAAGAAATGGAAGTGCAGAAACGTTAGATACCCGCCCTAACAAGGCTGGGATTTGTCCCGGGTTGTCTTTCTACTCTTACATTTTTGTGCCTCTACTTTCATGCTCCGGGACCTGGAAACTTCGAGTAGTCTGGTTGGGAAAGGTTCTTTTTTTTTTTGGAGCTAGGTAGGGAAGTGGAGTAGGAGGCAGGGTGGGTCCGCAGCAGTCCTGACAGGGGTAGCCAACCGTGGAGTTCGGAGTCCATGGTTAAAAGGATTCGTCTAACAGAGCACCTTTGAAAAAGGCATTAAGCTGAGAAAAGGGTTTTCCAGACGGCTCAATTTTTTGTGCTTATTTTCAAGATTCTGTGTTCCTTTTGTGAAAAGAGTGTAGGAAGATGTTTTATCTGACTTACTGAAACCAAAGCATGTGTATTTTCAGCTTGGATAGCATTGGCCCCTCTGGAGGGAATCCAGCCAACTTTCTCGCCAGTGGGCAAAGCTTACAACACCCCAGGAGATCTGTCAGCAACAAATAGCCTTATTCTTTTTCTAGTTCTAATTAATTAGTTAATCGAGTCCACATTGCTGATGCTTCCTTTGAAAGTTTTACCTTTCTTGAATCGTATACATTTGGGGGATATGGGTGTTTGTGTATGTATGTGCCTTATACACAGAAAAAAATTACATCTGAATTTTCATTGAGGGGTCTCATGAGAGGGTCTGAATCTTCGATAAGCATCTTCTCTTCTGTCACTTACTGGATCTTAGGTCAACCTGTAGACTCAGAAAACGCGTGGTCAGAGCAGGCATAGCACAGCCTTTAATCAAATATAGTAGGAATATTCTTTTGTCCTTCCTTCCATCCCTCCATCTACCTGCACAATTTTCTCTTGTCCAGGATTTGTTCCCCTTTAATAATCTGTTAATTTCTCTTCCTGAAACTTTAGAGAGTATTAAGAACTTGACCCTGTATAAACAGATTGGAATAAGATACTACAAATGGACAGCGTTTGCCTTCCATGCCTGCAGATGACCGGGGATTGCTAGTCGTGTCTGGCTCAGTGCTGGGTGTGTTCTGGGTTCGGGGCCCCCAGTGTTAAGGACTGAAGGAGACTGAGAATGCTGGACACAAAGCCCCTGCTGTCGTTCCTCTTATCGTCGGGGACAGGGGACCTAGAAATGACCACGATGTGAGCTTGGCTTTGCTCCGTGCTATGCCCGGGACACAGGAGAGTGAGCTCGTGCCATTGGGTGGTGTTGGGGGTGGTGGGCAGAGGCGGCAGAGAGGGGGCAGCATTTTGAGTGGGGTTGCAGGATGCGTGTGGGCTGGCACTGCTGCAGCCAGAGGGAGTGGGGCGACCCGGCTCCAGGGCAGGAGTACCGCTCCTTTTGGGGGAATGTCGGGTGAGCGGTTCTGTTCAGCTGGAGCGTGGCGTGTGTGGTGGCATAACGGAAAGAATCGGGCAATTACGTTTGTGCCCATTTTGCGGGGAGGTGACTGCCAGGCTGACATTTTTGAATAGTGCAGTGGTAGTTGGCACAGGCTTCCAGGGTTCGAATCCCCGAGGTACCTCAGTCACTGGTTGTCTGAACTTGGGCAAGTTTCTGAGCCTCACTTTTTCACCTGTTAGACAGGGGTCATGACGGTGGGTGTCCATCTGAGAAGGCGGGTTGTGGGTGCGGAGTGAACTGACAGCATGTCCAGAGTTTGTTTCATCCGGCCCATGAAGTGCCGTCTCCCCTCAGTGGACGGCGCGGGTGGGGGGTGACAAGGGCAAAGCTGTGAATCCTTGTTCTCAGGGCTGTTCCCACCGATCCTTGCTCGGGTACGTTTTCCCTGTTCTCCAAGAGCGGGCATCAGGTTGCTCCGCAGCAGCCGCTGGCCCCGCCGGACCTCGTCTGGGCCCTGCGCTTCGTGTGGTTTCTTACTCCACAGCGACCTCTGCTGGGGCTCCAGTTCGCTGCTCGACAAGCGTAGCTTGGGAGGCCGGGCCTGTGCCTTTAAGGCAGCACCTGTGTGTTGCCAGCGCACCTGGTGGAGAAACGTGATCTACCTGAGACGGGACCTCTCAGAAGAGAGTGGTGCCCAGGCCGGTTCCTGGCGTCCATGGCTCCAGGCATCTGCTCTGTCTCTTGTTCTTTCGACTTAGCATCTGAGGGGTTGTTTTTTCTGGCTGTGATCATCCTAACAGGAAAATGTGCTGAAAGTGACAGACCCGTGACAGATCCAGAAATGTCACTTCGAAGTTGAGCACCACATTTTCAAAAAGACAGCACAGAAAGATTGGTTCTTTCCTTGCTTTGTCGTTTTATATTTGTTTACTATTAATATATCTATTCTCATGTTTATGAATTTATTTATTTTTGAGACAAAGTCTTACTCTGTCACCCTGGCTAGAGTGCAGTGGTATCATCATAGCTCAGTGCAACCTTAAACTCCTGGGCTCAAGCAATCCTCCTGCCTCAGCCTCCCAAGTAGCTGGGACGATAGGCTTGTGCCACCATGTGTGGCTAATTTTTCTATTTTTCGTAGAGATGAAATCTGTCTCTTGCTCAGGCTGTTCTTGAACTCCTGACCTCAAGCGATCCTCCTGCCTCGGCCTCCCAGAGTGCTAGGATTACAGGCATATGAGCCACAATGCCCAGCCCTATTCTAGTTTTTAAATCCTATATTGGAGGATGTTTCACTTTGTGTTTAAAAATTCATGGAAATCACAGTAAAATCACCCATCAATGATAACTGTAAGGGATGATGAGTGATATATAATAATGTGATCATTTTGAATCTACAGGTAGTATTTTCTAACGTGTAAGGTCTTTTGCATATATGACCTCTTTTTGCTCACAAAAGCTTGTATTGTTAATAAACTTAAGTAATTGTATTAATAATGTCCCCTTTCACAGAATAGGAGCTGAGGCATAGCCATGTTTTGTCCTAGGCCACGCTTTGCTGGTTAAGGGGTAGCGTCTGTGACTTTGATTTCAGATCCCCAAATCTCTTCTTTACCACCATGTTAATGCAGGAACCTAGCCAGAGAGAAATGTGTCTGAGTTGCTTAAGAAATGTTTGCTATTTTTGTTATAAATTATAGAAGTACGTATTAGCATGAAGTTGTCAAATTGCAAAGGTGTTCGCAACTTGGGAAGGGCTCCTTGTAGGTGTTTTGAGGTGATTTTCTAACAGCATCTACGTGTCAAGTAGCTGAAGGATAGAGAAAAGATTTCCCCAGGACTACGGGTTAATTTTGTAGAACCGTAGCATTGAGAGAGAGACTTACATAACCTGCAGTTCATGCTTGGGATGTAGGCAGGTGTCAGTGGCCATGGATGAGAGTGTGTCTGGAACTCCCTGGGAGGCTGGAAGGGGGGTTGGGGCTTCGGTGCGGGTTTCAGAGCAGCCCCTCTCAACCATGATTCTAGAGCAGAGAGATTGGATGTTCAGTGGCCTTGCGTGGAGTACAGTGTTCAAACTCGGTGTCAGTGGCAAGCTGGCACAGCACAAGGAACGAACACACAGGGCCAGGAGTCAGTGACTTTCAGTCATCCTCCCTTGGCTTCAGTTTCCTCTGCATTAAACCAATGAGGAAACATGGTCTGCCTCAGAGGGCTGTGAGAAGCCGGTGATGGGAAGCGTGTGAAAGAGCTTACTATAAGTACTCCATAAATGAAGAGGACATTCTTTCAGTAGTTCCTTTCATTTGCTTATCGAATCTGTCTGCATTTTCTTTTGGCATCTGCAAACAGGTCGATGAGCTTCTGCATATATATGGTTCAACAGTAGATGGTGCTCCCCGAGACAACACGTGGGAAAGCCAGGCATATGTTCACTTTCAGGATAATCAAGGAGTTACGGTTACGATCAAGCCAGAACACAGAATAGAAGATATTCTGACTTTGGCGTGCAAGGTAATGGACTTTGCTGCAGACGTATACTTCTGAATAGAAGCAATCGTTCATGTTGCATCCTGATGCCTTCTACCTCGTGTGGCGTTCACAACCTCACTTTCTGTAGTAGGGACCGTGTTAGCACATTTATTAGTTAACATATTTATGAGCATATTTATTAATTCGCCTTCTGTTCCTCATCCCTTTGGAAGAATGAGTTGTTAGGTCAGGTTCCCATGCCTTCATGAAGAATCGGAGCTAGTCTACTGAAATTCTGTATATACTTTTTAAAATCTAGAATAATCAAGGAGTCTTGTTCTATAAGAAGGTGACATAGACTTCAAAGTAGTTTGATTTAATCCTAAATAGTTTGACCAGATTTGTCTGGGTTGAACAAGTAAGTTGATAGCATTCACAGTGGCTTCATGGAGATTAATATAAGATGATGTTTTATTCATTACTCAAACTGGGTTTTATTCCCAATCTGAAAAAGAAATTTATGATAAATCTTAAAGAGAGCCCTCCAAGAGGAAATATATCCAGCAACATCAGATCAGAGCTTTTAGACCACCAGGTGGCGTAGTACGGCTTAAGTATTAATATTTTTAAGTTTCCAGAGAAAATATAATCAAATATGTGAAATGGTGAAAAAAAGGCATATAGAGTTTGGTAACTCTTAACCGTGTACATTTAATAGATGTGGATAATGTTTAATTTTAGTTATCCTTTTTCACTTTGACTTAGAGCTTTAGGAAACTATATATTTTTATATGTAGCTTATATCCTAATAAACTTAATTTCCTTTTGCTCCAGTATATGAGGTTTTTATTCAGAAAACAAACAATGTTGTTCTATACCAATGGTATCAGCTATTAAACTGGTAAATTTTGTAAGTGATAGAAGGTGTCAGAAGTAGTGGGTTAGTTAGACCCAGTTGGAGCATAGGCCTGAGATAAATTTCTCACTGTTAAAAGTGTGTATGAGAGAGAAAGAGAAGGTGAGGTTGTGTGTGGGTGTGCGCACGCGAGCGTGTGTGTGTGTGTGTGTGTGTGTGAGAGAGAGAGAGAGAGTACATGTGTGTACACATTTTCCTTTTGAAAAGTGTTTGGAATAGGAATTTCTTAATTCTGAAGTCTGTAGATTTGTTCACATTTTACAAATTTCTCTACATTAATAATGGGAAACAAAGTTAGGTACAACCAATATATTAAAGAGATAGCATTTGCTGAGATGGTAAGAGACCTACTGTTAGATAATTCCACTGTACTTCTTAAAATGCATCTCTTGCCTTTAGTGATAAGCAATATCGTTTAGAGAGAACCTTAAAAATAATTATATGTCCCCTCTTTTTTGCATACAAGTATTTAAATTTGAGCTGTTATAATAGGTTTAAACTCAGCAAATTATATATAGTATTCTTTTTTTCCTTTTGAGACAGGGTCTCCCTCTGTCTCCCTGGCTAGAGTGCAGTGGCATCACCATAGCTCACTGCAACCTCCAACTCCTGGGATCCAGTGATCTTCCTGCCTCAGCCTCCCAAGTAGCTGGGACTACAGGCACACGTCACCACACGTGGCTAATTTTTCTGTTTTTCACAAAGACGGGGTCTTGCCTCTTGTTCAGGCTGGTCTGAAACTCCCAGCCTCGGCCTCCCAGAGTGCTAGGAATACAAGCATGAGCCATTGCTCCCGGCCTGTATATAGTATTCTTTTGGAGATTTCTACTTTTATTTTTAATCAGCCTGCTGAACAGTGATGAATATGGCAGGAACATTTAAAATTTCAATAATGGTCTTTTTCTTTATAGATGAGGCAGTTGGAACCCAGCCACTATGGCCTACAACTTCGGAAATTGGTAGATGACAACATTGAATATTGTGTTCCTGCGTTGTATGAATATATGCAAGAACAGGTGAGTGTGCATTAGCTTTAGAAAGGGAAATCTGAACCATATTCCTGGCCTTTTGATTTTGAAAATGTGGTTTTGGAGAAAAATTGTTTAAATTTGGTATCTAGTCAGGAAGTAGTGTCCATATAAAGGGTATCTTAACAGCTTTTTTGATTTATTATGAAAAAAAAGTGTCAAAATAATTTTTTAAGATATTATAACATCAAATCCTTTGATTTTGCCATTTTTTACCTTTTGTAGGTTTACGATGAAATAGAAGTCTTTCCACTCGATGTTTATGACGTACAGCTCACGAAGACTGGGAGTGTGTCTGACTTCGGTAAGCTAAGGAGCACCCTTGTCAGAGAAGCGTGTTCTTCTTGCCTAGTTTGCCCCAGTGTGTTTGGACATTATTTTTTTTCCCTTACATTCACATTTTCCAAATATATGGATATAGTTTCTGAACTTCCTTTCTCTCCCTTCATTTCCATTTATTGATATTAGCAGGCTAAAAAGATAGCTATCAATATTCTCGAAAAATGCCAAAGTAATGAAAGGAGTGAATATAAAAATTGATATGAAATTTGAAATGATGGCGAAAGTAATAACACAGTGAATTTACTGTGCACCAGACGCTGCCCTGAGTGGGTAACTCCTGACTCACTGACGGTTCTTCTCATCGCTGTGTCTTTGCTGCTGGCTTCCTCTTCCCACCTGCAATGCTACCCCTCACCTGTCTGCACCCCCTACCCCTCCTCCCTGCCGATAGAAATCCTACTTGTCCTTCAAGAACTAACAAAAGGCCTCACTTTCTTGAAGAAGCCTGACCTGATTGCTTTAGCTTCTCTTCTCTCTTACCCGAGTTTTTAAGAATTAAGGATCAGCACTTCCAAAATCACTTTGTAGCATTAATTCTTGCCTTTGTACTTGTCTGTATGTACACTGGGCTCTAAGCTCTTTATAGACTGTGCTCGTGTCCCAAAGTTCATTCACATCTGTTATGATCTTTCACCATAGGAAGTCAGAGATTAGATCATGATCAGTAAATATCTCCACAGCAGCACTATTATCTTGTTAAATATGTTGCTACAACATGTTTTTTTCCTTAGATTGACTCAAGTCAATGATATGTTAAAATGACATGTTAAAATTTCCTTTTTGTTATTTGTTCTTTGTTTTTTAATTTATAATATCTGCTTCGACCCCAATGTTTTGTTGGTTTTTCCCCTGAAGCTGTCTTAGGCTTTTGTATACTTCAACTTTAAACATTTTAAGAAAATTTTTAATTGTGGTAAAATACATATAACATAAGTTTATCATCTTAACTACTTTAAAGTGTACAGTTTTGTGGCATTAAGTATATAATACATTGACATTGTTGTGCTGCTATCACCACCATCCATCTGCAGAACTTTTCGTCTTGTCGAACTGAAATCTGTACCCTTAAACACCAGCCCCCTATACTCTCTTCCCCCAGCTCCTGCCAACTACCCTTCTACTTTCTGTCTCTGAGTGTGACTGTTCTAGGTGTAAGTGGAATCATACAGTATTTGTTTTTGTGTGACTGTCTTATGTCACTCAGCACAATGTCCTCACAGTTCACCCATGTTGTAGCATGTTCCAGAATTTTCCTCCTATTTAAGGCTGATTAATATCCCATTGCACGTAGGGACCACATTTTGTTTACCCATTCACCTGCTGATGGATGCCTGGGTTGTTCCACCTTTTGGCCATTGTGAATAATGCTGCTATGAACACGGGTATATGGTCTCAACTTTTGAATAACGTTGTGTTCTTCTTATATTACTTAAACCTTCTGATAGGACATGTTTTTCTTTTTCCACCCCTGCTAGATATTTGTGCTTTCAAAATAGTTGTAATTTAGACTTGCTCAACATACCGTACTTATGAGAGTAGATGTTCAAGGAAATATTGCTGATTGGGTTGGAGAAATTAATGGGTGTGGTGAATTTAGACTTTTTTTTCCCCTTTTACTTTCATTCCTAGGGTTTGCGGTTACGGCGCAGGTAGACGAACATCAGCGTCTCAGCCGGATATTTATAAGTGACGTTCTCCCCGACGGCTTGGCTTATGGGGAAGGTCTGTGTGGCACTCCATGTGTCTGTTCGCCCTTAATTTGAAACTATGGAATGCAGTCTGGCTAGTGAGATGTTCTTCTTACAGTTTTGTCAAAATGGTTTCTCCTGGAATTTTAAAGAAAGTAAACTTAAGAGTTTAATCGAAAATGCATATGTCTATATATAGAGAGAGCCTTTGTGTGTGTGTGTGTTTAAAAGAAAGAGTGTATATTCATGTGTACAGATGGAGGGAGAAAGAGAGTGTGAGAGACAGACAGACAGAGATAAAACAAATGTTATTTCCCAGGGCATTTAACATCAGAATACTAGAAGAAAAATTGTTTCTCTTTCAAACAATTTCTTCTAATATCAGCTCTGACAGAGCTAAAGTTTGTTTTGTTATCAGTGGCATCTGAATACTATACGTTTTTGTGCTTGTGGTGCTTGCTTGCATTTTTTTTAAGATAGGGTTTCACTATGTTGCCCAGGCTGGCCTCGAACTCCTGGGCTCAAGTGATCCTACTGTCTCAGCCTCCTAGATGTCTGGGACTAAAGGCATGAGCCACCATGCCTTGCTGGTGCTTTCTTTGAAGAAAGCAACAAACAAAACAGTCCCTAAAAGTACATGGTTTGAGTTTGCAGCCTTCTTTGATCTCAAAATATTTCTCTCAGTAATCTGTCTCTGTCTTTTATCTTCCTGGTCTCCCTTCTTGGTTCTCAGGTCTGAGAAAGGGCAACGAAATCATGACCTTAAACGGGGAAGCCGTATCTGATCTTGACCTTAAGCAGATGGAGGCCCTGTTTTCTGAGAAGAGCGTTGGACTCACTCTCATTGCCCGGCCTCCGGACACAAAAGCAACCCTGTGTACTTCCTGGTCAGACAGTGACCTGTTCTCCAGGGACCAGAAGAGTCTGCTGCCTCCTCCTAACCAGTCACAACTTCTGGAGGAATTCCTGGATAACTTTAAAAAGAACACAGCAAATGGTAAGGCTTTGTTCTGTCCTCCTCCTTAACTGCTGCTATCGACAGCCAATAGTTTTAGGCTGTAATTTTGCTTGCAAACTCAGATTATTTAAGCTGTTCAAAGAGTGTTTTCTAATTTATTAGAAGAAGAACACAGATGCCAACTGGAGTAGGTTTTATCAAAATTCCATGCATTTTAGTAATTATAGCACTTTCATGAAAATAGGAAATTATTATTTTTGCAAAAAATAACATTTAAAAAAATTACAGACTCTTTAAAAGTAACCCACAATATTTAGGATAGTAGTTGCTCTGTGATTGAAGGCAGATGAAAGCCTACATAAATGCCAAAGTTGAAAGATTTTTCTAATTTAGCTGAATCTAAGGCAAAACAATTTTGCAGTCATCTGTTGGGGGGCTTAGAACAACTGATACAATTCAGTTCTTTACCTCTTTTATTAAGTACTACTTTCTCAATAAACAGCAAACTTTGAATGTAGGTCATGAATTTTAAAACTTTGAGAAGGCCTAAAAATGAAAAATTGTATGCCAGTGTATTTTTCTTAAGGTGAAATTTGCATACGAGGAAATCATTTGAAGGTTTGAATTTTTGAGCCTATCATTCATGCATATTTCATATCTTGCAGTCAAGTAGATTAGAGGCTCCAGCTAATCCTCAAAACCTGTCGTTTCCCTCCGTGCCCCTGGAGGACGCTGGTCAAGCTCTACAGGAGACCAAACACGGGGTCTTTATCCTGGGAGAGCACAAAGTAATTTTTATACTTAATTACGATGATAATGGATTTCCAGTTGAAATCTCTTCATGATTACCAAAAATGAATGAAAAACACAAAAGAGAAGTTGTGAGGATGGATTTAATTATAAAGGAAGTTTATTAGGTCATTTTTGGAATTAAAAAATCAGATGGTAAGATTTGTGATTCAGGGAGGTATCTAATGCTTTCTCCTCTTCTCTTGGGGTTTCCCTCCAATTTAAAATACCATTAAATTGCCTATTGGCATATAAAAGCGAGTGTCATAAAACAAAAATTATGATGGAACTAATTAATTACTTGGTTATATTAGGGCCATCATTCAGCTACCCTGGGCCGCTGTTACGGCCCGAGTGTTCCGTGTAATACACGCGTGTGTCCATTTGTTGGATTCATTACTCTTGAGGGATGCATTCGCTATCTGTGTTATATCTCTATGTATTTTATCATAATAAGAGATCACTGTAGAGTCTGTAATACTTTTGGTACTTGCAGGAATGAATTCCTATAGACAGCAGCAAAGGGGGGGCAACACATTTACTTTTTCATTTTTGTTTTTTCATAGCAAGGATCGAGCAGAGGAGTTAAACTTGTTTACTACTTTTTTGCAAGGAAACTGAATAAAGAACAGTCCTGGATATGTTAGGCAGCTTTCTATTGCTCGTCCTGGGTGGCCACGCTGACAGTTTAACCCTTTAAACTTACCTGATCCCTCCAGCGAGCTCAGTTAGCAGAGTGGTGACAGCGTGTGTGCACATCTAGTCTTCCTGCAGGTGCCTGCGCGGCCTTGGTTCTTGCACCACCAGCCAGGTGGGAGCCCGTCCTGGTGTCCTGGCAGCCTGTGCTCTGTGGGGGTGACGTTCTCCCAGGCAGCACGCTGCCCCCCATGCCCTGGGTTTACTGTCTGTCCCTTTCCTAAGCTCCGGGTCACTGTTCCATAGTGCTGTGCTTGTGTTGGAACCCAAACAGCTATGACGGACTGTTTTCCCAAACACTTTGCAAACACGCATTGTTTTTCTTTTTGAAGTAATTGTGTCATTTATGAAGAAAGTGCTTGTGAGTGAACAATTCAGATGGAATTCCTTCCACTTTGAAGGGTTGGGGGAAAGAAGGTAAGGGTGGGTAGGTGAGAAATCGAAGGCCAAAGGAGAAACAAGACCAAGTCTCTCGTTCGTATGGAACAGCACGATTACAGGAGGAGCCTGCGCTGATGGAAACTCTGAGAGATGGTGGTGACGGGAATACAGGCTTTGAGTCAGAACTTTGGGGCAGCCCTCAGCCAGTGCTCCGCCAGCTTCCTCACCCCTGGGGAGTCAGGAGTGCAGGCCTCATCTGCAGACAGGCCCTGGGATCGAGTCCCCGTCGCCCACGGCAGCCGCCCCTTTGCACCTTGCATGGGCTTTCTGTCTGTCTTGTCCCCTTCCCTGCTTTTTCATTTGGGCTTTTTGGATCACCTTCCCCATAAACCTCTGTACCCAAGTCCTTGGCTCAGACTCTGCTTTGGGGGAATCCGAATGAAGACCCCGAGCCTCAGTTTCCTCAGTGGGAGGTTGAGGTCCTCCCCCTGCCCCTGCGGGCTGCTGTGAGTTTGAGGGGTCCGTGTCTGTGGCGTGTCCAGCCCAGCTCCTTACGCGGCAGGAGCTCTGAAAACGTCATCCTCCTTCTCTTCCTCTCCTTTGCCGCTTCATGTTTTATTAAAAATTACTTTGATTTGCTTTTACAATGAATTAGAAAACAGTAATCCTGTTTTTTTACTAACAGAATTAAAATTTACACAAATAAAATTTAAATGACTTTGAAAAACAATTTTTAATACAACTTGGAATTATATTTAGTGAGAATCACTTCAGAGTCTGCCTTTCCCTAAATTTCACGTTTCCTTGACATCCCTGGAAGGCAGTCGTGTACTTGAAAAGAAGGAACGTTGTTCCTTCCCAAGAAGGCAATCCTCTGTCTGTTATAAAACCGGTGAGCTAGAACAGATCTAGAAGAGAAGACCCGTTTCTTTAAAAATAGAAACTATGAGAACATCAGAAGGGGGAAGAACAAGAAAGCCTTAAAGCGGTTGTTTTGGGCACCTCTTGACCATCCAAGAGGAATAATTACTGATCCCCTCTGAGTGCTTGAAACCTGCGAAACCCTGAGAACAACCGACATGGAGTTCAGGGCTTTGGGTCCACTTTTATTTTTGGTGAGGTTTCCAGAAATTTATGTTGATTAGCTTTGGTGTCTTGATTAGATTTGAGTGAAAAACAAAATCAGTCTCTCTCTCTCTCTCTCTCTCTCTCTCTCTCTCTCTCTCTCTCATCTCTCTCATCTCTGTCTCTGACTGAAAGAGGCGTCAGTCACAGCGGCGGGTCCCAGGGCAGTGGCTGTGGGTTGCTGCCCAGGTTCTGTGCATTTCCAGAACAGCAGCATCCTCCTGGTATCTGGCGTTCGTCGATGCGTGTGATGTTTAGGGACACGGGTCTCGGGCTTCATAGCGCAGAGACGCACCTGATGAGCTTACAAAAATGCAGACTCCTGGGTCGTGCTGTCAGGGCGCCTCCTTCAGGAGGTTTGGGGCAGTGCGAGCTCCATGGTGAGCCAGCGCGGGTGGCTGGGTGCTGTCGCGCAGCAGTGGCGGGTGGGTGCGCTCGCTCACGCTGCCGCCGGGCCGTTAGTCTAAAGGAGGTGGGCCTGAACTTGAGCAGCAGGTTCTGTTTCCCGAGCCCCTCTCTGCTGAGGTTCTGAGGAGTGACAGAGTCAATACGCAGACAGTTCTCGGTGGAGGATGGCCGTTGTGCCTGTGTGCCATCGTTCTCGCAGTTAGGGACTTGCGCCCCAAACCTCCACCGTCATCCTTGGTGTGCTCAGAGTGCAAGTCGACTTGTTGTCACCTCATTTGTTTCTTAGCCCGTGTCAGGAGACGCCGTCCCGTTCAGCAAAGCCACTGAGAAGCAGAGAACTTGCGGCGGTCACTGGCTTTCCTCCGCCACGCCCGTGACACGCTGCAAGGAGAACAGACGGGAACACGTTGAGAACTGAGGCGTGTTTAATATTAAATTCCTCTGTTCCCTAAGAAATGAATGACCACTTGATTCTTGCCTTTAAGAGTTTGAATGTCTGTTCTAGTTATCCACAGTAGAAAGAGGAAATGTCCACGGGCTGTATTTGACTTGAGCGGAAATATCATCTGTAAAGACTTTTTATAGAGAGAATGAATTTTACCACTGGAATTCCCCAAAGAGGCCAGTGTTATTTTAGAGCCAACAAGGCCACCATTGACAGGATGGGATGTACCAGACCTGTTTATACTGGGATCCTGTTAATGTTGTTTTTGTGATTTATGTATGAAAACCCCTTTTCTAGTGTTTGCCATCTTTTGAAAGATTCCAGCAGCTCTTAGGAAAGTCTCATTGGGCGTAGAGTTCCTGAACAAAAGTCTTTATATAAACATCGAACTTGCCTGTGGCATTAATGAATTCTCCATCTATAAACAGCTATTAATACCACCTTGTTACGATTGGAGGAATGTTTAACAGGAGACGAAATAGAAAAGACCTATGTTCCTGCTCCCGTTTAGCCACTGTAAGCCCAACAGATGCTTAGCAGATGATGCAGGTAATTGCAGCCCGAGGTTCTTTTTTGACCCCACCCCACCCCTTTGCATCACTCTCTTTTAAAATTGGTGTATGAGTCATGTAGAGTCTCAAGCTACCAGAAGCCACTAAGATGTAAACTTGCTCTTTGGAATGAGTTGCTCTTGGGAATGTGCGTGTCCGTTAGACAGCTCCTCACCACGGGGAGGAATCACAGAGCAAACCGTCTATTTCCTGTTTGTGAGCGTGAGGGCATTTTGACTTCCACAGCCTGTTTAGGGTGACTAAGAGCATTTAGCTCAGAGAATGCTCTGTTTGTGTGTAAAACTGCTGTGACTGAGTCTGTCTGGCTGACACCCCAGATTCCCAGATGTAAAAACATATTGGTGTTCCTGAAGATGGGCGTGCATTTTTTTAAAATCTGATTGGCAAACACTGGTTTTACCAAGACATGGAAATTTGGTCTCAGAATTACGAGTTTCTCATGTGTCGAAGGTGGTTTTCACTTGCATCGGTGGAAGTGAGTGGCTTTCCCTTAGCCGTGCAGGGAATCACGATCCTTGGATACTCATTCCCTTAGAAAACGGGGTTGGTTTGGAAACTTAATCTCGTTTTTCCTATTCTCAGTCATTTATTTGTTCAGTTGTTTATTTAACAAGTAATAACCT